AGAGAATAAGAAGGAGTCAGTCACATGAAGATGCAGAAAAATGATGTTTCAGTCAGAGAACAGCAGGTGCAAAGTTCTTGTGGTCGGGAAACCTTTCAATATCTGAAGAATGAGGTGATTTTTATGTAAGCCAAAGTCTGAGGACCATTTCTTTAAACATTATCCTTTTTTGTTAGTACAGCTGACACTTGATGAGCAGGTTTGCTAGTTGATGAATCATGTACTGTGTGTGCTCTGTGTTTATTATCTGTGCCATGGAAATTCAGCATTTTCTGGGCTCCACCATAAACTTGAATGTTGCTGAAATTTTAGGCATATGCTCAAATTGCAAGAAATATCCAGCCTTTATAAAAGTGGTTCTCGAGCCTGGTTGTACATTTGAATAACCTGGAGGATTTAAAAAATTAATGTAAATCCTCAGGGTCCATGCCAGATCAATTAAATCGGACTCTTAGGGATGTGGCCAGGGTACCCTAGCAGGAAAGAAAAGAAAAAGCAGGATTCAAGGAGGGGATAGGAGGAGGAAAGGTGGCCAAGAAATGTGCAGTGGGGACTAACAGACAATCCCCCAAACACCCCCCCTACACACACAGGCCACACACATGACCAATTAGTGTTTGATGCAGGTACACGGAATGCACTGATGGCCAATTAGTGTTAACCAGAGAAGCAATGACAATCAATGAGAGCTAAATTAAAAACAAAACAAAAATCCAAAACTTTAAAAGAAACCATAGTTTTAAAGAAAAAGGATGAGAAGAATTACAAAATATAGAATGATAGGGAACTAAACTGAATGTTCCTGTTCCTTAATATGTTATTTCTACTTCTCACCACCAGAATTCTTTCTCTTGTCATTTTTCATACTCCAAAATTTTATTATGGAAATGTTTCTTTGAGATTAAAATATTCTTAAAATTGCAACAACAAGAAAAAAAGACATTGTTTTCTCTATTCTTCCAATTCCTAGCCCCGGAGGAGCAGAGGAAGGAAGAAGGGAGGAGAAAGAGGCTCTGGGAGCAGCTCCTCAGGGAGCGTGGTGCCAAGGCAACGGAGCAGCAGTGACTGAAGTCTGGACCTCGGCTTTCTCGGAGAGTCCAGGGCACTCCTGAGTGATACAGGCTAGCAGCCTAATGTTCCCCTACTTCAAGGGGCAGAGAGGTCTGGAGGGTGAAAGAGGCCTCGTGGACAATACATGAGACCCGGTTGATAGATCGTCCAAGTTAAAAGAAACACGATGGCACCTCATACATTAGTAGCAGATACAATAGAGGACACTATCCAAAGACAAAACGGGAAACCTAGATAGACCTCAAGGGAGCCCAGAGATGTCACGTGACCCCAGATATTCCTTCCCCAATACCATGTGAATTAGTTTTCTAGGGCTGCCATAACAAAGTATGAAAAATTGGGTGGTTTAAACAAGAGAAATCCATTGTCTCACAGTTATGGAAGGTAGAGGTTTGAGATCAAGGTGCTAGCAACGTTGATTCCTTTTAAGAGTTGCAGGGGAGAATCTGCTCCATGCCTCTTTCTTAGCTACTGGGGATTTTCTGGCAATCTTTGGCATTCCTTGTTTTGTAGAAACATCAACCCAGATCTCTGCCTTCATCTTCATGTGGTGTTCTCCCTTTGTGCCTGTGTCTCCCAATTTCCCTTCTTTATAAGGACGCAGATCATATTGGATTAGAGTCCACCCAAACAACCTCATTTCAGCTTGATTACCTCTGTAACGATCCTATCTCCAAATATGACCACATTCTGAGCTATGGGTATTAGGAATTCAACATATGAATTTGAAGGGGCACAATTCAACCTATAATACCATGTATATAAAACCCTAGAGAGAATGGAAGAAAAAGAAATCTGACTTTGACTGAAGAGTTAACCAAGAGACTGAGTTGCAACTGGCATGATTGAGTCACCTTGTGTATCGAACAGGCTTTAATGTGACCCCATAATCTCCACATCCTGGAAATCATGTCTTTGTAGAGTCCCCTCCCCTTGAGTGTGGGTGGGGCCTTGGATACAACTGGGCGAAGGCGATGGGATGTCACCCTGTGATCATATTACTTGCATAGACTCCATCTTGCTAGTGGCTCAGTCTCCCTAGACGGCTCTGAAGCAGCAAGTTGCCATGTTGTGAGAGAGCCATGGGGAGTGCCACACAAGGAGCTGAGAGTGACAGCCAGCGAGAAGCCAGAGCTCTCAGTCTCTCAACCACAAGGAAATGAACTCTGCCACAGCCCGAGTAAGCTCGGAAGTGGATCCACGAGAACCACACCCTGTCCAACATCCTGACTGCAGCCTTGAGGAGGACTGAACAGAGCCATGCCCAGACTCCCACCCCACAGACGCTGTGAGAACGGAAATGTGTGGTGTTGTAAGCTGTCAAGAAGAGAAAGGAAGAAGAAGAGAAAGAAGAAGTAGGAGGAGAAGGAAGGGGGAAGGAGGAGGAGGAAGCGGAGGAGGAGGAGGTTGAGGAGGGAAGAAGGGGAGGAGCAGAGAACAGAAGCTCTTATCTTCCTCTCTTTCCAAGTCCCTATTGCGACAGGCCTATGATGGGGATGTTTGTGGCTTTGACTAGAATACGAGACTCATAAATTATTTTTCTGAATCAAATAATAAAAAGAATATGACACTGATTAACAAGATTAAATTAAGCTTTGGTCATGGAAAGGAATGTGTCTCAGAAAGGGGCTTTCAACAGAGCACCTCTGGAGATGAGTAATTAGACAAATGTCAAAAATGTTTCCCATCTATATCCTACTGAATCAAGATTCCTCCCTAAAACCTGTTACACACATGCACATAAAATTTATTATGCCACACTCCTGATTAAAATCTTGCCAAGTTCCTCTATCTTTTGCAGGCTAGGTCACAGCTTCTTAGACTGGCACATCCAATGCTTAATTATTGCTCCCCACCAATTCTACCAAGCCGTGTCTCCAGCCACTACTCTGCAGACCAGACTAGGAATGTCAATTTACATGGATGCCTGTAGGCAGCATTCACTGAACCACCTGCTGAGTGGACTGGCACTCTCCATTCTCTGTTAAGTACACTGATACCCACATTGAGATGTGGCCGCTAGCAGGCTGTCCTCTAGTGTATCATATTCTTCTGCTCCCACCAAGTGACATGTAAACTCGCCCAAGTCAGTTGTATGCATTCCCAAACTTGTTTGAGCTGGTAGGACTTGTTTTTGTCATTATATTACGCAAGCTTATGGAATAGGAGTATGCAAGGAAAGACAGTAACTTGGTAACTATATGTTGAAAGAACATTGCTAGTAAATTGGGATAGAAAAGTGATGGTAAAAGATTTGGGAGAAGAAAAGTCTTTAAAAAGCTAGGCCTCTATACTTAGATTTCTTTGCAAGAATCTTAAAGTACTTTCCCATTTTAAAGAAAGCAAAACTAGAAAGAGCAGATGATGTGTCATTGGTGTGTGTTACCTAAGAAAGACAAAGTGAAACTATGATCAATAACCCCACACTCAAAAAAATGTCCTTGGCCTTGTAACATGCCATGGTCTGAATATTTGTGAACCCCCCAAATTCATATGTTGACATATTAACCCTCAAGGTGATGGTATTAGAAGGTAGGGCTTTGGAGAGGTGATTAGATTATGAGGGCAGAGCCCTCATAAATGAGACTAGTGTTCCTATAAAAGAGGCCCAGGGGACCTCTTTTGTCCCTTCCACCATATGAGGACACAGAGAAGTTGAAAATCTGCAACCTGGAAGAGGGTCCTCACCAGACTCCAACCATGCCGACACCCTGATCCGGGACTTCCCAGCCTGGAGAATTGTGAGAAATAGATTAGTGCTGTAAGTTATAAGTTAAACAGTCTGGGGAATTTTGTACAGCAGCTAGAATGGAGTATAATGGACTATGACGTAACAAATGAGTGACCAATGAATACATAGCTGTAAGTTTTAAAGTAAAATATTCAAGGTAAATAAATATATGTAATTTTGTATTGAAAGCACTCTTTATCTGAATTTCCAGAGTAACCCCCCAACACATTATTGTTCCCAATTGAGACAGGCAAGGAGGTGTCACCTACTATATTGGTAACTCCCCAAATGTTCCATGAGCTCTCCCAGCTCCATTACTTTGAAGGAACATTCCTTTGCCAGGGGATGCCCTCCCCTGACTCCAGGCTCCCTGGCACACTCATTGCATCCTGTGCTACCGTGTTAATTGCGACCTCCTTCACATTGCCCCTTCTTGGCGTTTCTCCTTAATGCATCTTTCACCTGTTTTTCTTCTTTTTTTTTCTCACCCACCAGAACTTCTTTCCTATATTTGGGGGCTGCCCCACTCTGTGAAGCAATGCCTACCTCATATGTAGAAGATGAAAACATGGGTTATTCTTTTCACTCCCCATTGCTAGATGGGTATTATTGCCTCCCACCTCAGGCACTAGCTCTGCCTTTAAACCTGCAGCCAGGGGTGTGAAGCCACTGGACCCTGCTGCTGAGCCGACCCTGGGGCTGGGTGGCCACAGCGGGGGTGGCTATTTTCATTTTCTGAAGGTGCCAATGGCAGGGATATGGAGTAGCTCTGTAGCCCCTGAGACTGGTTGTTTGACCTTCCCAGATACTCTGTGAGCTCCGTAATAGCTTTTAATAAATTCCTTTCTGCTCAAATTAGCTAAAATCAATTTCTCTTAATAAAAGCTAAAAATCATGGCTGACATTTTGCCTTAAAACAATGATATGACATTGTATTATAACTGTTCCCACGTGTTTTTGTCCCCATATAATTTTTAGCTGGAAGTGACCCATTTTATCTCTGTAACACCAGTGCCTAGCACAATGCAAAGTAGTGCAGAGCAGATCCTCAAAATATTGTGATTAATTAATTTGTTAATTAATTACTTAATTGAAAAAACGATTCCTCTGAAAGTCGAAACCCCAAAAGTAACAGCAAATGGTCCATCTGAGTATCCCTCTATGAACGGTTTTCATAGAAGACAAGCACAGCAACAAAGAGTTCTGTAGCATTTAATTAAATATGAGATGGTAACACACATCATATACTTATATACTTAGCAGCTCTGCAAAATGTTTGTAATGCATGTGGAAAGTACACAATCAAATCAGAGACCTTCCCTGTAGTGAATGATGGATATTTTTAAGAATAACCCCCAAGAGAAATCACTGAGCTGGCAAAAATGCCACCTGATCTAAAACATTTCCAGATCCTCTACCGCATTTTCTTCCTGGCCAGTTGCAAGTCTGGTAGCCTCTCCAGAAGAACTAAGAAGGCACAAGTATGCACATCTGAAACAGCCCATACTTGGCTTTTCTGAAGCAAATTCCTGTTTAAAAACACATTGAAGGAAGAGGCAAAGGCTGGTAGAAAATGAACCCAGTAAGTCAGGGTGCCCCAGACCCAGACATGGTTGTTTGAGCAAATTAGCTGCCAATTGCTCAGTTGTCTTTTCATTTCATGATATATAGAAATAGCAGTTTACACCTCTGATTTATACATTGTCTCTGACCAGGAGTTTTTCTTTCTTAATGAAATCCAATAAGGGCTTGGGCAGAACCAATATGTAATTTTGCATTATACATTGTCCTTGAGTATATAATCAAGCCTTAGCAGCAGTAATGATTACAAGAGTATAATACGTAGATTTTAAATGCTTCCAATACAGACAGACACTAAATTCCAGTGGTGACATATGCTAAACAACATTGAAACAGAGGACTTTAGAGCTGGAGGGACCTTATGTTCCTTCCTTTAGGGTCAGTCATCCTTCATTTCTTCAAGACATTGTCTATTTACATCAGGGGTACAAAATTATGGCTCCCAGTTCTGACTTCATGTGAGGTTGAGTAATTTACCTGTCTTCTCTGTGTCCCAGTTTTCCATAGTCAAAGATAACAAACACTTCAAAGAACCTCTGTGAATAAGGTATCAGAGACCTAGGCTGGGCATGAGATTTTGTGTAAACTTTTCTTTGAGACTTGGCTCACGTTTCTACAAAAGGTAAAGAATACCTGTCCACCTGGTGGACAATGTCTTCTGCTACTTACACACCAGGCAGATTCTACTTTTCCTCCATGCGAATTTATGTCATTTTTGTGGCATTGTCCTTATCTCCAACAGGATACTTTCAATATACTTCTGTTATAGCATTTTACATTATAATAATTCTTTGTTTATAAAGCTGTCACTTTTGTTAGATTTTGCACTTTATGAGGCAGCATGCCATCCTTATTTGTCTTTAGATCTGCTGTGCCTAACACTATGGTTGGCCCATAGCAGGCTTTTCATAAATGCTCGAAAACGAGATGGAAGAGAATGCTATGGAAGTGCTTCGAAAATCACAAAACCACTAAGCAAACCAAAGGGACTACTACGGTATTGTACTTATTACTACTAATGCAGAGGAAAGCGCTTTGGAAAATAAACCATTCACATGAAGAATAACATGGTCTGATTGCTCCTAGTCCTTTAAGCCAACAGACAAGGTCCGTTAGTTCACAACTTAAAACCCCATTCACAGACAGCACAAAACAAAACAAACATGAAAATTAAAATATTGAAAATGTTTAGTACCCCTAAACAAAGTAAAAACAGAACAAAGAAGAAAATTTGAAACATAAAGACAGCAACATCAAACCCCAAGCAAAACCCTGGAGAACCTAAGTTCAGTCCTTCTTGCTTCCCTGTGCTGCTTCTGCCCTGTGCTGTTCTGTGAACCACCAGGGTCTGGGGCCTGTGGGAGAGGGGTTAGCTGCACGTCCCTGAGCTGACATTGCTCAGATGCCTTGACTGGGTTTGAAATTCATCTAGACCCAGAAAGGTAAGAAGACAAATGTCAAATGTTAATCATATGTCTCTTCTCTGTATCTTCTGTAACATAGCCACAGTTGGTTCACTCATTTCATGTGCTCATAATTCCTTATCCCTGAAGTTTATGGTAACATCCAAGGCTATAGAACTCAGGAAAATTTGGGGATACATTGGTTGGGGCAGTGTCTATACACATGGAAGGGATTATTCCCCACTCATTGGTCAAATGTGCCAGCGTTTAGGATCAGTGACAAGTTCTTCTGGGAATCGTGCATAGATGTAGTTAGGTGGTGGCAGGAAAAAGACTGTGGTCTTGATAACTAGCAAGAAAAATTCTGGGCTTCTAATTCCTTTCCTCTTGAGCTTGTTTTCAGAAAAATGAAATTGAATGGGTTTTGAGTTTTTTTCTTGCCTTCTTCACCTTCTTTTGATATGGCTGGCCTTGGTATTACAAATTGGCTTACATGATAAGCTATATGGTCACCCTGTATTACTGAGGCTTGACACTCAGGAATGAGACAGTCCCTAGTGAAGAGAAAGGTTCTTGGCTCAGGGAACTGCTGCTGGACTCTCAGCCGTCAGATCTTGGCTCCATCCTCCACTGAGTGAGTGACTTGGACAAGTTACTTAACCTCTTGATTCTTAATTTAATTATCTATTAAGAGAGAATAATAATAATAATTGCACCCATCTCCTAGGATTATGGTGAGGATGAAATGAGACAAGGTGTGTAGAGCACTTGCATGGCATTGGATAGATGTCCTAACAAGGGACCCATCATTCTTATTCTCCTTTCCTTCTTCCTTCCCTTGCTTTCTTCTTGCCTTCCTCACACTTCCATTATTTTCTTCATTCTTTCTTTCATTCTTTCCTTTTTTTTTTTTGAAATAATTGAATCATCAGGTCACCTGAAACCCAGTGACCAAATCAACATAGTAGAAGCAGAATGTCGAGGGTCACTGAACCAGGGAAGAGTGGTCAAAGCCATGTTTCGGAGTCCTATAGACTATGCAGTGGGGTTTTGTCAATTTTCTCTTCTTTGTGCTGGTAGGGACAGTGAGAGGTCTAGAGTTCTCTCAGTCACTTTTGTTGGTCACAGTGGGTTCATTCTTGGTGTCTCACAATTTACTGGTTTTGGTAGAAGCTGGACATGGTAACATAGGCTTCTTCTGGACTTGGTCCCAGGGAGGTGAGGATGGGTTGTCCCTGAGCAATAGGGTTCAATGTCAGGATTCCCGACTGGAGAGGAAACAGAGGGGGTAGGATGTTGTTCGTAGTCCCTGGGTTAAGCAATAGGCCCTGGTACACATGAGGCCCATTCTCGTCACTCTCTGGGGACCTGGGGCAGGGGAGTATAGTGGCATCACATGCACTGCCATTCCCAGCCAGGCACTCTAGGGGTGACTCTCTTCTGAAAGTTTCTGGGGTGATGACTGTATGCTCAGGTGACCCATTGGGGTCCTGCACACCCCCTCCAAGCCTCTGCTTCTCAGACTCCTCTGGTTGTGGAGGAAAAGCTTCTTGCAGAAAGCCTTCCATTTCATCTTGAGATTGAATGCCATCCACCTTATGAATCTGACAGTCCAAGAAACTTTCAGGATTGAAACTCACATTCAAATTCTGCACAGAAAAAGAGAGAAGGCATTAAGATGGCACCAGAGAGAGGTGTATCACCAGATGTTCAGTTTAGGAAAAGGTCTAGAGAACCTTCTGACAGAGAATTTAAGAGAATTGCCCACATGTTCCTCAGCTGACTCTTTGCTTCTGGAGGTGCTGAGACACTTCAGGGTCTAAAGTGTCCACTGGCTGTGCCCTCCAGCCCTGGGAAGTCTAGAAGTTCTGAGACTTGTATTTCATTTTAGTTCCCTAGTGCAGCTAGCATCTTATGATGGATGCTAGTTACGGGACACATAAAAGACCAAAAGTTGAGGTTCCATGTTCCTTGTCCTGGAATATCATTCTTGGTTACTGGATGCTGCTAACTAGTGCTTTTGTAAGTACCAAAAAACACTTACCTTTCTTGGTTTCTTACACAGTTGTTCAAGAGTCTTTTTATGATCCGGGAGACTGGGCCATACAATAGGCTTAATCCTGAAATCAGAGGACATCAGTAGATGAAATAAATGGCACAGGACATAGGCACAGTGAGACTTTCCATTTATTCTGAGCCAGGAATCAGAGGAGCAGATTTCTAGTCTGGGCTATGCCCCAACTAGGTGGGTTGAGTGGTTGCCATGGTCAAGTGACTTGCTTTCCCTGGGCCTCAGTGCTCTATTAATCCAAGGAGGGTTGTACCAGCTATTACTGCCATTAATCTACTCTGTGAATAAGACATGACAACAACACACCTCTGGGGAAGACCCCTAGAGAGAAGAAGGCTTGCAATGAGGTATTTTCTTTTGTGTGTGTGTGTGTGTGTGTGTTTTGTGGCACTATGGAACTGAGTCATTTGCTCCCATTGTAGGTGTTGTGGTCTTATTCCTTCACTGTACTGGCAGCAACTCCTTTGTTCTAATTTTGGTGGATGTAGAGGATATTTTCTAAGTTGCCCAGGGAAATTGCTTAGTACTTTTAAGGTAGTACTTTACAAATTAGGGTGTTTGTAATCCTGGAGTTATGTAGCCCTGTGCTGAGGACATCTTCCTAGAATATTAAATAACTGATGCATGTTTAAAACATCATTTGTATGGTGAAACAAGCATGGTCCTATCATGGGGTAGAATACAAAGCTCCTATGAATTTGTGTGCTGAAAGTCAAGATTTCAGGTACATTCTACATTTGCCATGGGTGATGCCTTCTACACCCTTCAGAAGACTTTGGAGGCAAAGCTTGGGAAACACTGCCTTAAAGAATTCCTCCTTTGGGAAAAGGTTTGCCTTATGTCCAGTTTATATATTTTTGCCTCTTATAAAATCAACTGTGGAAATTCCCTGGTACCTAAGGATAGAAAGTGATATTGGCCACTACAATTCCTAAAATGCCGTATTCCTCTTTGTAGCCTTCTCATCAATAAATGGGGCTCAAGCTCTTGTGTCTGGGATCCCACACAATCATCTTCACAAATAGTTGAAGAAAGTCACCTTCTTTTCCATAATACACAGGCCAAGATGACCAAGACAGCCACAGAGAAGAAACTAGAAATACTGATGGTTAGTAACACAGGATCCGTCTCTTCTGGAATACAAGGATAGAGGATAGTTAGCATTTAGTAAGCATGCCCTGGGATAGACTTTCAGGACACTTTGAGTTTATTTAGTAATGGGGACCAATTTATATTTTCTTGAAAGTTGCTGTTCAGTAACCAGGATGATGTGCCAGCTTTATCAGGAAATTTTGGCATAAGTGGCACCAACTTGGGTGACCGGGCCCAGAACATCTGCCACCTGAAGTGTAAAGTTATCTAGCGTCAAAGGTGCCACCACTCCTTTCTCTTCTTGACTTTCCACCAAAGGAATGAAGCCAGACCAGAGCAGGGGGCAATGAGCTAGATGTTCACCCCTTAGTCACAGCAAGTTCCAGGATGAGGTTGGGAAGCTGATATAGTAGAATAGTTCCCTCGACTGCCTCCCCCAAAGGAAAAGTAAATGTGAGTGTTTTGGGTCCCTAGGGGACTGCCTGTGCCATGTTCTCTGGCTTTTCTGGCCAGTCTCAGCTCCTAGACCCCAAGGGCATCTTCATCATTTTGGAAAAGGAGACACAGGACAGCCATACCCACCATCAACAAACGTGTTCCCTAGCGGGGTCACAGAGATACCAGCCATTAGGATTCTAGGCTACATGGTTAGCTGGAGGTGGCAGGTGGGGACTTTGTTCAGAATTATTAGCAGTTCCTAGGAATGCCCAGGACAGTAGCTCCAGACAGCCTGCACCAGTTATTAGAAAAAGGACCCCCAGCCCCTGCTTCCTTGTTGTTCATAAAAGGGGCAAAACAGCAGGCAGATCATTCTACAAAGAAAGGGTAGGAATGCCCTGGGGAAGGGGGTCCCAACTCTCACACGTTGACTTTGACATACGAAGCACTATACTGGAACAAAGACTTTGCCGCTCCTCACCTGCACGCTTGGTCTCCGGAGTTCTGAAGTGGTAACTTGGGCTCCATTCACTCCAGAAGCCTTCAAAATAGTCGGAGGAATAAGGGATGGATCGGACTTTAATCTCATACATGGCATCATCTTGTAGCTTTCTCTGCAGGAGTGTCAGCTTTGTGCTGGACAGATTCACGTGCTGAAGGGTAAAAAGCGCCATGGTATTTTCAGGATGGAAAAAGAGGTGCTGCCTAGATCTCCCAAGCCATTTCAAGTGGAATTCCTTTAGTCACATATGCACTCTCTTAAGGTTCTCTCATACTTATTAGAATAGGACTTTTACTATGCGGAGGAGTCAGCAGCAGAATTAGGGGCAGAGGCTGTGAGCTCATAAATGATGCCGTGAGTGGCCAAGGAGGAGAGTGAAATGCCGGGTGTTTATTCGGATGAGTTAGGCTCTCCCACTTTGGGAGGATGTAAATCACTCCCAGGCTCCACCTTTCTTTCTACGCTTCAATATCTTCTTTTTTTTTCCCCTCTCCCTTTTCACGTGCCAAGGGGAGATGAAAGTTTAGGTTAGTGAGCAGGAATCAATTCCCTCCAGAAAGATACCCTTCCACATTGGGAATGTGGACAACAGTCTCCCTGATACTGTGTATTATTCTTAAGAAAAATAAAGCTCTATCAATTTGATAGGTAAAAAGTAGTCCATTTTTATTTATATTTGTATTTATTCAGTAATAAATTTGCTTATACTTATGGAATGTATATATTTCTTAATTTTGAGACTTCTCTAAATTCTTTGTTCATTTTTCTATTGTGATATTTGTCTTTTTAAATGATTTATAAGAGCTCTTTATATATTAAAGATATTAACCATCTGTCAGCTGCATATGTGGTAATTTAATCCTACTTTTCAATATGTCTTACAATTTTGATCATTATGTGTTGACATGTATAAGCTTCTACTTTTTATGTGGTCACATTTATCTATCCTTCACTTTCTTCTACTGCTTTTATGCTTAGAATGTTCTTTTTCATGTCAAGATTATATAAACATTTGCCTATATTCTTTTTAGCTTGTTTAGAGTTTCGCTTTATATAATCTCCTTAAATCATCTGTTATTTTGTTGTTATAGGGAGAGTATCAGGCATTTAACTTAATTTTTGTCCCCAATAGTTAACTGATTGTTCTGGCACTATTTATTCAAAATTCCTCCCTTATCCACTAGAGTTGCTTTTCTGTTGGTGTGATTTCAGATGAATAATGAAAGAGGGCAGGATCAAGGTCATCCAGTTAGTGCATGTGTAGGGGGCGGGGCACTTGGGTAGAATGAGAGAGCAGGTGGTTTGGGGCAGGCATTCCCTTTAAACAAGTAGCACAGTGCAGCATGCTGCACACAGACAAGGATGACCTTGGCCTGAGAAAACAGGACAGTAGAAATAAGTAGGCACTCTGCTAGCCTTGAGAAAGAGAAACCATTATCTATTTTCTGTCCCTGTGGTGCAGAAAGAACAGAAGTTATACTAGGAATCTGATAACCTGTGATACTCTACCATTCTCCTACCACCTCCCCAAAAACAAATTCCAGGGACTTCCAGATCATTCCAACCTCAAGGAATCATGAATAAATAGTCTAAATAACCCTCCAGATTATAACAGGTAAAAATTAAATTGTTACTTCAAGAACTAAGACCTCGGGCTTTAAAATTAAAACAAAGCAAAGGCAAATATTCCACCTCTCCTCTTTGCCTCATACTGTTCCCACAAGCCCCATAGACCAAACTGTAGCTATGACTTGGTGATCAAACCAAGGGATATTTTTTGCCTGATTTGCCTATGAAAGTGGTATAAGACATGACACTTTTTGAGGCCCCAAATAAACAGGATCAATTTGGTCTCGATCTATATTGTTATCCAACTAACTTGCTTAGAAATATCCTAAAGATAAAACTTAGAGCAAGAAAAATAGAAAAATCAGAGCTAGAACAGAATGCTCCAGGGAAGATCCAGGGTTTTGTGGGGCCTGAAGCCTATATAATGTTGGGAGCTTCTTTCAGTAGAAGGTACATTTTGAAAGCAAAATTGTTTTAGGCCCTCCCAGTGTAAACGCAGGTCTAGGACAGTAACACTTGTAACATTAAGACATTTTCATTTTATAAATGTGGTTGATCTACATACCATCCAGTTGTTTTCAACCTTTTCCTGGCGGTAGGCCACATCGTGCATTAAATTTTTTACATACTTCTTTTGCAAGTGTGATGTATTAAATGTCACCACAAAGTCATTTGCTCCCTCACGATAGACGACACTTATGTTAAAAGGAGCCTCCGGTTTAACTGGGAAAGGAAAACAAATGACATCTGTATAAAGGGCAGTCGAGGAAATAATATTTAAAATATTATTTTAAATAATAATATTTAAACTCCATCTCCTCTGAAAATCACTCCCATCTTTTCTGCATCTGTAACTGGCTAACTCTTTAGAAAGCCATATCTTCTTCCTGGGTGCAAATGCAGACCCTGTTTCCCAGCCTCCCTTGCAGCTGGGGGTGGCCTCATGGGTGATATGAGTGGAAGTCACGTACTCCCACTCCAGGCCAGAGGCACTCCCAGGTGTGACTCCTGTGCTCGGTCCCCTCCCACCACTTGGAGTCTTGCGTTGAAGACGGTGGAGCCACAGGATGGAAGGGGCCCTGAACACTGATTGGAGGAGCACCACCCACAGCTTAGCAACACCGATTTGGGCTCTGATGTGAGTGCGAAATAAGCTCACGGTGTTTGAGACATCATGTTTGGGGGCTTATTTGTTACAGCAGCCAGTGTTCATTTTACATTAAAACTCATTCTCTTTGCCTTTTGCATACTGGGGAACTTTGTTACTAACTAGCTCCAAAGCAGGAGCATTTCAACTTTGAGTCTTCCTTCTTCCAGTAAAATAGGGTTCTATGCTGGAGTCCTCACACCTCGTGTCAGCTACTTAGACCTGGAGGGTCTGCATCCTGCCCCTGGCTCGGAACTTCTGGAGTGGCCTCAGGGGGTCCCCTCTGCCAGCCTCAGCTGTGTCACCTCTGGACTGATCTTGGGCCTCTTCCTTCCTTCTGCCTGCCTGCCTGGCAAAGTTGCCGTTAGAATCCCATGTGCCACACACGCTGTGGTGCTGGGGGGAGGCAGGTATTATTTCGGGCAAAGCAAACCCTGAGAAAGGTACCGATTTCCCACACAAGTGCTGAGATGTCCCTGTCCTGGCCCCTTGGCTGCTTGTTGACCACAGCCTGGGTAGTTAGTTGTCTGGGGCTTGGGCCCCTACTCTGTTTATGTGGCTGGTCTCTGGCCCCATCATTAATGAGAGGGTGTGTGCTCATTAGACTTTTACTCAGTAGTCTGAGCTGCATTCTAGGCGATCTGAGCTGGACTTCAGACTGACTTACTAGCCCAATAAAATGAAACCTTGGTGACAGAGTTTGGCCCAGTTATTGCAGTCACTTGTCCATTGTGGTGACTGCCTAAGTTTCTCCTGTCTTGCCCTGGATTTACTGAACAAGAAGTGACTCCTGAACCCTCAGATATCTTGTAAAAAGGGAAGTTTATCCTTTTTCACCCTAACATGGGCCACCAAAAGGGAAGCTGCCCTACAGGGAAGCAGGAGGCAAGGTGGTGGGTGGACAGGAATAGCCCGACAGAGAACCCCGGCCACCCTCGAACAAATGCCGGGCCCTTTCTATCCTTTACTCCATTCTCAACCCAGCTTTCTGACACAGAAGCCCTGCCCTGTGCCATCTCCGAATAATGGAGGAATTGAGGGAAGAACACACCTACTAAGTGCTGAGTATTTTGCTTATACTGCCTTCAAACAACGTATCACTTATCAGACAACAGAGCTACTTATCACTATACTGATGAAACTTTGTCTCAGAGAAGTTAATTAATGTATGTTGGGGTCTCTATAACATGGTTTAACAGAATTTAAATCCAATTCTGCCTGATTCTGAGGCTCACTCTTCATTTAGCTTTTGTTTCTATACCTGTAATCTCACACTGGATTGTCCACACACTCTCTGGACAGGTCTGCCTCTAGCCCAATGATGTCTTTGAGAAAATTAGAAAAAGGTGCTCATTCCTCAAGCAACATTGTTAAAAGGTGATGTATGCTCATATTGGCCAAATCAGATTTGGCCATGTTTCACTTCCTAAGAGTAAGTCTCTTAGGAATCTGTGACAGTTAATTTTATGTCAATTAGGCTAGGCTATGGTGCCCAGTTGTTTGGTCAAATACCTGTCTAAAAGTATTTTATTTAGAATGATTAAAATTTAAATCAGTAGATTTTGAATCAAGCAAATTATATTTCATAATGGAATTGGTATCAGCCAATCAGTAGAAAGAGCAAAATCTGAGGTTCCTTGAAGAAGCAGCAAGTGTATCTCAAGAATGCAATATAGAAAATCAACTTTAGTTTCCTGCCTTGCAGAATTTGGACTCAAGACCACGCTCTTACCTGAATTTCTAGCCTTCTGCCTTGCTCTACGGATTTTGGAATTGCCAGCCCCCACATACACACAAACCAATTCCTTAACAGAAATTTCTCTCTTCTACCAATCAATCTAGCTATCTGTCTATCTCCTATTGGTTTTCTTTCCTCTGGAGCACTCTGACTAATACAAAAGGCATATTTACTTTTTAAAGTAACATAGCAAGTTAGGCAAACACACTCAGAGTCTGGTGGGGATACGGACAGAGGATTATAGGGAATTCAGGAGAAGGCCCCATGAGGAAGGAAAGGGCACGTGTGCATGGATGACAGGAGGTCCAGTTCCAGTTAGAAGCATCATGTAGATTTGCTCTTCCCTCAATCTTAGGTGTCACACACTCTCTTTCATAGCTGTGTTCGAAAATACTTATAATTCTTTTGCAGCAGGAATTAGTAGTATAAGGTTCAAATTTTTCATTTTTTAAAAAGTGCATTAGAAAATTTGCTATCATCAATTGCTAATTGTTTCCACCATGTATCTACTTTTAACATACAGAAAGTCCAGAAACTGTGTCTTCAGATATCCAGAAAATGACAGTCATATCCCATATCCTTATATACAACTTCTCACCTATCTTGACTATGTTCATTTTTTTGCAAGTTATACTCTTTTCTCCAAGCTTCACACATATTTCGCTGTCGCCAATCAGTAAGAATTTCTTTGTCTTGATGTAATATACCTCTTGAAGCTTAGTAAAATTCAGGCAGTTTATCTCCAAAAGGGCCCCACTGTAAAACAAAACAGGGAATCTGTCTTGATTCAAGCAGGAGTTTTTTTATACAATGGAAAAGTACCATATGTGCATTTCAGTTGCATGGCTGCAATTCTGTCCATAGGTATGTGGGTGGGTGCATGTTAGAGAGAAAGAATGAATTAAAATAATGTGGCTTTTTGCTGACATTATACTCAGTGATAATTTACTCAGGCATTAGATACAATTGAACCTGAAATAGTTAAAGTATGTTCATGAAGATTATTTTTTAAAAAAACTCTTACTTTTTATGATTGATCATTGAAAAACAAATACTTTGCTTAGATAAAAAGGTAATTGATGTTTTTATGTTTTATAGGAATAAATGGGAGAAATAAGGGCTGTAGAGAAGCATTGATTAAAAAAGGGCTAAAGGAAATGATAAAATAGTAAGAATTACATACATAACATCACATATACAGAAGGAATTTTCATAGGTAACTTTTGCTGATAAACACTAAGAGGACTGGTCAAGAAGAGAAAGCAAGATGTAAACTACCAACATCTGCAATGTGAGAGGGGAAAGCACTATAGAACATGCAGATATAATAAAGTATAATAAAGAAATTAAAAAACATATTCTAATGCATGCATTGGCTTAGATGTAATGAAAAAAGTTTATAAACACAAATTAGTGTTTATAAGCACTAATATATCAATAGTTTTCTTTCAAAGAAATTAAACTTATTATCAATAAACTTCTTCATTAAGAAAAATCTATGCCTGATGGTTATATGCTGGTGAATTCAATTAAATGTATAAGAAAAAATAGTGCCAATCTTACACAACTTCTCTGAGAAAATAGAAGAGGAATGGACCCTTCCCAATCTATTTTTTGAAACTAGCTTAACTCTGGTAATAAAACCTGGCAAAATTATTACAGAAAAGAAATTTGCAGACATTATCCCTCCAGAATGTATATGCAAAATTCCTCAGGAAAATATTAACACATTGATTTTAATGCATTATGACAAAGTAGGGTGTATCCCAGGAAACCAAAGTAGGTTAAACATTTAAAGATCAATTAACATAATTTGTCACATAAACAGAATAAAAGATATTAATAATCTTATCATCTTCAATTGATGCAGCATCTGACAAAATTCAATGTCCATTCATGATTAAAAACTCTCAGTAGATTAAAAAGAGCAGGGCACTCCTTCAATCAGATAAAGAACATTTACAAAAAGCCTACTGTCAATATCATAGTTAATGGTGAAATTGTGAACATTAGTTATTTGTCTAAGATCAGGACAAGAAAGAAATATCCATTTTCTCTATTTCTATTAAACAGGGTACAGGAGATTCTGCCAATGCATAAGACAAGAGAAACAAAAGACATACAGATTGGAAAGGAAGAAAAAATACTTCCTTTATTTGCAGAAGACATGTTTGTTCACACAGAAAATTATAAAGAATCTCAGATACAACTACAGAAACTAATAGAGTGAATTCATCAAGGCCATTATACAAAAGTCAGTTGTATTTCTATAAGCTAGCATCAAACTATTGGAAAATAAAATTTAAAAATTATAGTTTCATTTATGATAGCAATAGAAATGTGATATATTTAGAAATAAAATTAATTAAAGATGTTCAAGGTCTTTGCACTGGAAATTACAAAACATTGCTGGAAGATATTAAAGGAAGTCTAAATATTCATAAATGGAGAGCTCTGATCAGGGATTAGCAAATTCAATATTGATAACATGAAATTTTCCCCAAGTTGGCCTATATAATATTAATCAAAATCTCAGTAGCATTTTAACAAATTGATAAGCTGATTCTAAAATTATTGTGGAAGTATAAGAAACCAGAAATAGCCAAAGTAATGTTGATTGAAGTAGTACAAATATGGAGGACTCAGAGCATTGGTTTCAAACTCACTATAGAGCTATGATAATCAGAACCATTTCATACTGTCATAAGGATAGATAAATTGATCCATAGAAAGAATAGTAGAGTTCAGAAATAGACTCATACGTATGAGGCTAATTAATTTTAAATGCAGACACCCGATAGATCCAAGGAGGCATAGAAACTCTTTTCAGCAAATTGCCCTGAGATAACTGAATAAATGTATGGAAAATATGCACCCTAATCCCAAACAATTATACATAGATTAAGACACAAATATAAAGGCTAAAACTATAAAACATTTGGAAGAAAACATAGGAAAATATCTTTCCAACTTTGGGAGTAGGCAAAGATATCTTAGCAAGAACACAAAAAGCACTAAACATAAATGAATAAAAAAGTTATATAGGACTTCATCAAAATGAAACAAAATCTCTTGCTTATTAAAATAAACCATAAGAAAATGCAATGGCAAGCTTTAGACTGACAGAAAATAGTTCCAATACATATATCTGGCAAAGTAATTGTATCCGGAACATATAAAGATCTCCTATCCATCAATAATAAAAGGACAAATAACTTTGTGATTTCAACAGATACTTGCCCAAAAAAGATATTCAAATGGCCAAATACTTGAAAAGGTGTTCAACATTTGTTATTTGATAAATGAAAATTAAAATCACAATGAGATACTATTCCAAACTCAAGTGTTGGAAACAATGTGTGACTCTCATACATTGCTCATAGTATAGTAGAATGGCTTTGGAAAACTGTTCCTTATGATGTTAGTTGTGCTCCTACCTTATGATACAGCAATTCTATTCTGAGGTTTTTTTTCTCCAGAGAAATGAAAATGTATATTCACATACTGATTTGTAAAAAAATGTTAATAACAACTTAAAAAATCAATAGCATCTCAAACTTCAAAAACTACTCCATAAAGGCCAAACTTCATAAAGTTGATTATGAGGAGAAAGGATTAAAAATCTGTGGTATATTCATACAGTGGAATTACTGCTCAGCAGTTGAAAAGATGGATTACAAAATGTGCATCGTCAACATGGCTAAATCTGACAAACATTGTGTTGAATTCAGACAGAAAAGTATGAACAGAATTATTCCATTTAGAAGAACTATCAGAAACTGGTAAAACCCAACGATAATATTAAATAGAATTCAGAATTATGATTGCTCCTGGGGCAGACAGGTTGACTGGAAGAGGACATAAGTCACCCTTTTAGGGCAAAAGAAATGCTCTATATCTTGAATGATGGGTCAGCTATATGTCATAGACATTTTTCCAAACTCAAAATTTGAACATTTTCCCATTAGTAAATTTTACTCTCAAAATGAACTGTCCTCAAAAAAAGAAAGTAAATCAATTAATAATATGAAAATTAAAGAATAATGCAGTTATACATTCTTGTTGTAGAAGTAATTAAACAAAGTGGAATAAAAGTAAAATTACAGTTTTCCTTCCTTCCCAACCCTCAATCTAATTTCTCTCTCCTGTGATAACCACTGTTACCAGTTTGCTTTTCCTATGTGTTCTTTACAACTCAGCTAAATAGCTCTAAAAAGAGGTATAACTGTATCAAATTGGAGGTGAGAATCTTGGCAGAAAAAAGTACCTCTGTGTAAGTTTGCTTACACGAAAGAATTGTTCCCATTAACCAGATATTTTTGTTTAAGTTCCAAGGGCTGTGTTCTAGGAAGGTCCTTTGCTGTCTACAACCCAGAATGTGTGTTGAGTTTTCTTTAGTGAATTGAATGTGTGTATACTCTTCTCCTGCCCGTGCTCAAGCGAGTCCTTTTTAGAATGGTTCCGGTACTCCGTAGAGAAAGAGGAACTTGTCTGCGCACGGCTTCAGGTGAGCTGGCCCTGGGGTTAAAAGCTGAGGAGAACTCGCAGCTTTAGGTACAGAATCTTTCACTTTTGGACTACTGTGATCTTTGAGTGACAGGGTAAGCTCCTGCATTCATGAATACTAGAGATTGGTCGAGAAATTTTGTTAATTAACTGGCCAGTATGTTGAATGTTTGTATGACATTCCTTAAAATTGTCCTCTCAAAATAGAACTTTTGTTAACTGCTGTCTTTTGGGATATGCAGTTTGCTCAGGCTTTGAATTTTGTGTGTGTGTGTGTGTGTGTGTCAGAGTTTTTAGAGGGTTGTGTCTGTTGTTGGGGTAGATGGATTTTCCCACTTAGAACCAAGTGAAAATAGAAAGCGAATTTTAAGGTAAGCTAGATGGATATCAGGGAACGAGCTTTGGATGAACACCAGGTAGAAAGGTCTGAAGACGGCAACATTGTCATGATTTGATAACTAAGAATAGAAGGGAAGCATTGGGGGCAGAGTCTCATTTCTGAATTTTAGGTAAATGTGATGCGGGGAAACTAGAAGGACAATGGCTTTTAGTTCAATCCTTGAATTTAGAATGTATTTCTAAGAAAAGCATGTGTGGAATATCTAATTATAGTTGCTAAACCTGGTACTGCTGGGAGTTTAAAAAGTATCTAAAATGGTCTTCTCAGCTCATTCCCACTTTTTGGAGAGTGAGATTTATGAGCAATGGACAATCAAGGATCACCACATGGCTATCCTGTGAGACTTGGAATCCGTTTAAGGGATCTGAACTTGAGGAGCTACTCCCTGTGGGTTGTGGCCCACTCTGGAAGACTAAGATAAATACTGTGGACTAGAGTACTCAGCCTTATTTTGTGCCACTGCCCCTAGCTTCAGGCAAATGAAGGAAACTTAGTGTCCCTCATTAAGTGTCCAACTCAGTGCAATCCAATTCAATCCAAGTCAATTAAAACAACTTACTTGGCTGTAACCATGTATTGTTAGGGTTAGGAATGTTCTAGTGCCACACTACCCAACATAATAGCCACTACATCATATATAGTTATTGAACACTTGAAATGTGGGCAGTCCAAGCTGAGATGTTATCTTAGTGTAGGATACGCGTTAGATATTGAAGATTTAGTATGAAAAAAAGAATGTAACATATCTCATTAATATTTTTATTTGTATTGATTACATGTCGAAATGGTAATATTTTGGATAGATTAGATTAAATAAAATATTAAAATTAATTTTACCTATTTCTTTTTTTAAAAATGTGGCTACTAGAAAACTTAAAATTACCTAAATGGCTCATTCATTTGTGAATTGCCAGGTATTTCTAGTGGACAGAGCTATTTTAGTGTTCTGGGGGGAGAAAGAACACCGCAAATATCCAAGTAATATCATAGGCTAGTGAATTTGAGCCTAGGGGACCCATTTAGGGGACTTCAACCCTGAGCCACTCACACAAATCTCCTGGTTCCATGTAATCTGATTCTTAACCCCATCTCCACCCTCCTAAACCTAGAATTTCTCTTGTTGGTGCAAACAAATATTTCTGTGGAAATACAAACCAAACCAAACCAAACAAAAAAACCCCACAACTATTGCTTTCATTTCTCAGTTGGCCCTGAAAGACAGAATCTAGTTCAAAAATACTCAAAAATTTTAGGGGCTAGTATGGTTTACTGTAGAAAGGACTAAATTAACAATACTTGACAGATAATGCTGGTTAAGCCTAGTATATCAGGGTGCAGCCTGTGATGGTGTTGGTAATTGTTGAAAGCAAGAAATGACATATTTGAAGTGTTATTTGTAGGCAGCACATGGGAGTGATTGTGGTACCCCCAAGAATGTGGAAATAGAGGAAATACAATTACTTTCTGAGAGCGGATTATGAAAACTATGCAAACACTTAAAAAGAAAGGCCTCAAATTAAAATTTTTGTTGGGTCTATGCAAGTAATATACATGAGAGAAGAAGTCCTAACTTCAAGACTGAGAATTTTTTTTTTTTTGAGACTGGGTCTCATTTTGTCACTCAGGCTGAAGTGCAGTAGTGTCATCATAGCTCACTGTAACCTCAAACTCCTCCTGGGCTCAAGTGATCCTCCTTCCTCAGCCTCCTGAGTAGCTGAGACTACAGGTGTACACCAGCATGTCTGGCTAATTTTTCTATTTTTGGTAGAGAGGAGGTCTTGTCCTTGCTCAGGCTGGTCTTGAACTCCTGGCCTCAAGTAACCCTCCCACCTTGGCCTCCCAAAGTGGGAGATTACAGACGTGAGTCACTATGCCTGGCCAAAACTGAGATTTAATTTTCCATCTGTAAGAATCAGCCAGAATTCTGTTCCTACTACTTTTTGCTGTACGGGTCTAGTATTATCAGATATGATTTTTAAAAGAGATACCGAGAGTTTTAAATGCTGGGAACTAATTAAAAAAAAATTAAACACATTGTGATCTGAACCAAATAACTCTAGACTTAAAATCAACAAACATATTATCTTTGTTTTGCTTCTATATCAAGTAACATTTTGATGATATTTTAATGAAAATTGAACCATACTGAGATGACTAAGGATCATTTACAGACACATACCATATGCCAGACACTCATCCCTTCTACCCCAGTGCAAGGCAGTGGTTATGATCGGAGAGTTCAAATGACCCCCAGGTCACAGAGTTAGTTAAGTGTTGCTATTGGGATTCCAACCCAGGTACCTGTTTCCAGAGTCTCTCTGTTGTCACTTAAGGCACCTGAAATCTGGCTAGAACTTTGGTGAATGAAAAATTTTCAGGCCTCCCAGTCAAGGTGAATTTATATTGATATGCAACCTATTAGCCTTCTCTGCTCCCCTCCCCTGATGCCAAATCCTATAGGTCCTGAGCCCAGTAAGAATATTTGGATCTCTATGATATTTGCATTTGTTAGTGTGAAATAGTCTGGCATGCTGGTAATTCAAATCTGTCAGTTTGGTTATTGCAAACCTCTCTCCGAGATCTGCTTATTGAACACCAACTAAATTACTTACTAAGCCTGGGACACTGGTGGTCAGATCCGGGGCAGTTGGTAAATGTATTGCCCGCTGAGAGATGGCAGCAAGTGTCTATCACCTGTGTAATGACTTCATCAGCATGTACCATTTTGAATAAATTTCAATTTCTTCTTTATAGATTTATATTAGCAGAAAAAACAGACCAATAGAGCTAGTTTCACAGTGAAAAAGAAGCCCAACCTAACTAGCAAACAGAGTGTTCCGTTTAATTGAAAATATTTTTTTTTTTTTTGAGACAGAGTCTCGCTTTGTTGCCCAAGCTAAAGTGAGTGCCGTGGCATCAGCCTAGCTCACAGCAATCTCAAACTCCTGGGCTCAAGCAATCCTGCTGCCTTAGCCTCCCGAGCAGCTGGGATTACAGGCATGTGCCACCATGCCTGGCTAATTTTTTCTATATATATATTAGTTGGCCAATTAATTTCTTTGTATTTATAGTAGAGATGGGGTCTTGCTCTTGCTCAGGCTGGTTTCAAACTCCTGACCTCGAGCAATCTGCCCACCTCGGCCTCCCAGAGTGTTAGGATTACAGACGTGAGCCACTGCGCCAGGCCTGTTTAACTGAATTTAATTTGAGATGCATTGTCTTCTCTGAACCTGAGATGCATGAATCTCCCCCTGAAGCTGTAGACACCTCTGATGAAAATGGCTGCTTTCTAGAAATACTTTAATCCACCAGAGTTCATACTTACTGCTTTACACTGAAAGCGTGCCTTTGACAATCCCTTTCCAACTCAAATACCTGAATGCAATTGGAAAACCCAAATGGAGGCTCCAGACAGTTTAAAATATGACAAGGAAAATCAAGAGATACATTAAAGTGGACAGAAAGGTCAACTTTAGCTTGGCCAAGAGAAACCACAATGAACACAGCTGTCTACCACTAGCTGGTTGGAGAACCCAAAGTCAAACCTCTGTGTGGGAGGGTGTTTTGCCCATAATAATGAGTGCATTGTTTGAATGAGTTGTTTGGCTGCTTTAGTGTAGTCCAGTTGCAGCCTAGATAGTGGACATTGTAGGCTCCCATTCTTTTGACATATTTTATTTCTGGAAAGTGTGTTAGAGAAGTGAACTAACAAAGGCAGACTGAGAACATACTACAGTATTCAAGTCCAAAATCGTATTTATCCAATGACTGTAGCAAGAAGCACTTATGAATAGATTCTGGAAGCTTCGTAAATTAATGTAAAATGGAATGCAGGGCTCTTGGACTCAGTGTCTATGGAATTTAGGAAGCCCTCTTTTGCTACTTGTGGATCTTGACTTACTTTCCTCACTAGGAAACTAACTAAAAATTAGGTCATCTAATAAGAATTTGGAGACAGACACAAGTCATAATTTCAAGTTAGAGTATTTTTTCAAGTTACCCGAGATAGCAACTCTTGGCAACAGGAGATGATTTGTGAAAGAGGAAGAAGGTAAATCTTCCCGAGCTCTTTACTAAACTTTCAAGCCAAAGACTTTTTTCCTTTATTCTGAGGACTAATGAAACCAAGCGCCCACTTATTCCTGTAGATTTTTAGAAAATTACATTGAGAGGATCATCTGAAGTCCAACTGTGTCAAGAGGGTAGAAGTGAGGTCAATATTAACAGAATTATGATTTAGTGTCTCTTCTGCATTACTCATCATACGCTGAATGACTATTCTGAGTGCTTTGCACATTATTAAACTATTTAATCATCATACCCTTCCTATGATATAGCTTATCTCATTTTATAGGTGGGGAAACTGAGGCATAGATAAGTTGCATAACTTGCAACTTAAAGAAAGCTCATAAACATTGGTATTGGTATTAGAAACCAGGCAACTTCACTCCCAAATGCAACTTGAAGACACTAGGTTATCATCCCATGTTGGGCAAACAAATTTTTTTGTGAGGAGCATTCTAGGAAAACCAGGATGTAAATTGTACTATGAAGTAGGGAAAGATGTTAAATCTCCAAGGTCCATAGCTATGGAGTAGCTATGGAGTACTATGGAGTAGGGAAAGATGTTAAATCTCCAAGGTCCATAGGAGCATTTGGCTGTAGCCCCCGAACATGAAAGATAAACGTGAGAGTTGCTTTGCTTCAGTCGTGGTGAAGGACAAAGAGTTTTAGGAGGTTTTTGTAAATTCATTAGATTTTAACATTTGTTAATTAGGCCACACACTCTTTCCTTTGCAGCTATGGAAAAGAGCACATGAAAAGAGAGACACAGGATTTCTAAATATCCTTGAAATCACCATTACTTACCATATTTCCAGTTCTAGATTGGTGCTATTGATGTCTGGGTCGTCAAAAGTACAGGTCAGTGAGTGATGAGACCTATTCACTTCCAACTGACTATAGCAAGAGAAAGAGTAGTAGTCATCCAGTTCTGCATCTTCCAAGTCTCCTAGGGAGTAACAAACATGCAGGCTGTTAATAAAGCAAATATATGCATATTTTTGAAGTCTGGCATCACATTAATAAAATGGCAGAACATTGTGGCAGACACAAAGGAGTGATTACATTTTAACTAAAGAAGAAAAGCCCACTGGCAACGACAAGAAAATGGTTTCAAAATGAACAAACAAAAACCAAAACCTAAAACAATGCATGCAGAGTTTTCTAACATAAAAAAAGTGCATCACAATTAATAAGTAATCTCCAAATATTTATGCATTAGAGAACTAGAAAGAGGCACTGAAAAGACTTTTTTGTTTATTCAAACTGGAATTTCTTCTGCTACACTTGTTTACATTGAAATGTTTGTATATTTCAAATACGAGATACTTTATTTCTATTATTTGTATGACAGTTAATCTAATTTTTGATTTTATTATTAATATTCATTTATTCCTTCCCAAGAATTATTTTTTTGCCAAAGGAAGGATTATAGCTGTCTTATAGTCAGATATTCACGTTTTTAAGGGATTGCTTTTTCTTGCCTAAAAGGTATCCCAATTAAAAGTAGCATTGATTATCTCCATTGTGTGACTATATTTAAGGCAACGTGTCTTATACTATTGACTGAGATAAATGGGATAAGAAAAAATTAGATCTCGCTTGACTCAGATCTAGTAGACCTTCTTGTGAATGTTACACATACTGCTTTTGTTCTAGATTCTTCTTTTATAGATACAGTATCTTATAGGCACTAGCTAGATTCTGGAAGAAAACAATGGAATCAGATTATTTTCCACTTTGGAAAGTACAATTTGTCACAAATAGTATTCAATTTCTTAAGCTAGGTTGTAGAGCATATGATTAAATGGATATTTTGTATGTATAATTAATAATATTTAATAGAAAAATGAGGCAGAAAAAATATGTCAGCAAATATACTCCAACTAGTACCTGAGAAAATAGTAACCAAGCTATTCTCAGAGTGGTTGAGTGTGAGCTTATGACTGATTCTAGGTATAATGTTTTGGTTAATCAATACTAGAAATTGGATGCTTCTAAGGCTTTAAATTAGATACAGAATATACTAAAATTGAATATCAATTGAGTGCCCCAGAGGCCATGGGCTGTCCAAACAATGCTTTCTTTACTTAAATAACCTAGAAGTTCTGTGGGAAAGTTAATGAAGTTGATTGTGAATGGACTAACCACTTGAGCAATGGGTCAATTTAGACAAAGCAACAAATCAATTAGATAAGAGCTGTGGGCACTGTTCACAGCCATGGGCATTTGTCTTTCTGGCCATTCCCAGAATCCATCCAGCTCACAGTTCTGCCACTAGCAAAGGCTCCTAATGTAATTTTGGTAGGGTATGGCCCTGCTCCTGATGGCAGTGTGAAATAATGAGGGGCAGCCCACCATTTAGGTCTTGCATTTTAAAGCACATTCATTCCTAATTTTGTAGACTTAGATCTCTTCCATAAGAGATGGCAACCTTCTAAATGGAATAGCTCTTGCCTTCCATGGCAGTCCTCTCATTGTCTTGACCTTTTCTCTTCTTTGGACCTTCTGCCTATCCTGTACACAGCGCATACATTACTATTCAGATTCAGACATCCTGTGGGTCAGCTTTGTCTCCACAATTCTTCACTATACAGGTAAACCAGAAACAACACGCTCTAGAAAATGCTGGGCTCCAGCAAAACAAAGGACTCCCATTAACCTTAGCCATTAAGTCTGGAAAAGCATGCCTACTGTATACTCTCATGTAATATACAAAGCACCATTTATACAATTTTTTTCTGCACTTAAAAGAGCTGTGTTTTAAGAAGTAATTCATTGGCTCTTTAGCAGGTGTTATTGGGCAAAATTGCCTTGTAACCTGGAAAAATTCCCTTCAATTACTTGTAAAGTTGTGTAGCATTTTACAAAGAGAATGTTCTACATGGCACAAGCTGAAAATTCTTAGGGAAAAGTAGTGTATACAGTGGTTAAGACCTATAGTGTCAGAACTGGACAGATGTGAGTTTAAATCCCAGTTACTCTTCTTTGTAGCTGTGGTACTCTGCCAGGTACCCAACCTTTCTGATATTTAGTGTTCTCAAAAATAAACTCATGAAGAATCATTAAATGGAAATATACGAAGATTTGGCTTAGAACACACTAAGCACTCAACAAGGGTTAGCTATGACTATTATTTCTGAGAAATAAGAAAGAAAAGGTAAAATGAGAATTCTAATTCTGAAAACATACATGAAACATTGGGATTTTTTTTGAAAAGAGTACTATGTCAATTGAAGGCGTTGGTATCACTATGGTTTTGAAATTATAGAGCTTTTGAACAGTGAGTCAATCTACTATTTTTTGAGTGCTCAATAATTAATATTATTAATATTTAAATAGGTATCTATTTAAATTTTTATTCATAAAAATTTAAATAGATAAAAAAATTGGAATATGTATAATAGGCAAGGCAGTGTGATTTCCTACTGAATGGATAGAGTTAGTTAATTAACAGGTTAAAATGGTTTGGATTTTTAAATAAGTATTTCTTTATTCTCTCGATTGTACTTGTGGTTATCAAGAGAACTAACTTATCTTTCAATAAGCAGCAGCTGACGGTAAATTCCTTACACCCTAAACTGTAAAGTATTTTGATATGATTGTGTGGATAGGTGGCTACAGATCTTAGGGAGGAAAATCTGAAATTTAAAAAGTTGAAGTGAAAATCTAGTTTTCAATTAGAATTCTTATTTCTTTTAAAAATAGTATGATCACCAGGGAGAAACAGAGAGAATATATTACACCAGAAGAGAGCAAGATTTATGTGTTTCCTGCCACGCATCTTTGTATAAACCCCCATTTAGCCAACATTTAGCACAGGATAATGATCATCCCCCACAGAATGATTCACATGGTCACACTGTGAAAAACGTCAACTCTCTGACAACTCCCTTAATGAGAAAATTCTAGGGATTTCCATCCTTAGTAATTACATGCCTCAAAATATCTAAGCTGAGTCATCAAGCTGATGTGTTTGATATTGTCTATAGGAAAATACTTTCTAACTCTTAAAGTGAAAAGGTTTCATTTGCAGGAACAAATTGGTGGCCTAAGTTCCTAGGTGGTTCTTGCTGCTGCTGGACACTTTTGCCTAGTTTTGTTGTAATGACAATGTATTTGCTTTGTAGGCAAGATCTGCTCCTAGGTACTAAGTATCTTAAGGATCTCAAGGAGAATTCTTATATACGTTAAATTTGTTGATGGGAAGGCAGTTAAGTGTATTTCAACAAGACAACTCACTGAGATCTTTTCCCCCTCAGTTATTTACTAAGACTCTCAAAACTCTTTAGTTTTGAATCTATCAAAACTAAAGTATATTGAAGACATTTAGAAATATTTATAGAATGTCTACTCTGTTCTAGACACATTTTGGTGCTGGGGAAATAGCACTTGTCAACACAGGCAAAGCTGTTGTTTCTGGACATTATTTTATCCTAAAATTTATGCATTTGGAACCTCTTAAAAAGCCAAACAAAAAATCCAGCTTGATTTCCTCACAAGGTAAAATCTCCTTGGAGATTTTCCAACAAGCACAACTGTAGCGTCCATATGGGTGCTCCTTTTGTTAGAGCAGAGGAATCAACAGACATTTAAGATCCACATTTTGAGAGTCCAATGCCTTCCTTCTGGACAACACTGAGGCCTTATATGCCACCCACAGTACTGTCCCCATCCTCCTGGCCTGGGGTCAGAACATACAAGGCGAATACGTGGTAAGTGCTCAATCTCCATCCAACCCGGTGCCCGACTCAGGTCTGTCAGAGAACTGAGTAACCTGAAGGTGTGCTAGAGATCATCCAAAATCCTTAAGAAAAGTAAGAAATGACTCACCATTCTGTGCATAGCCACTTTCTCCAGAAACGACTTGAAGTAAATAAAAAACCATACCAAAAGCTGTACCTAGAATTGTCATTCTGAGAGAGAAAGAGAAGAGAGAAGAGACGTGTGAGCCTGTGTGTACGAAATGAATGGGGGGGCGGAGAGAGAGGGAGAGTCTTAGATCTACAGCTTTATACTTATTTAACCACAGACAGGGGGAAGTATAAACACAGCAAAAAAATGGGCAAGTTCCAGAAACAGGAAGTCTGAGTAAAATTATCGCTGCTGTAAGCAGAGGTAGAGAACATGAAGAGAAAGAGTATTTTATTTTATTATGCCTTTCTGATTTTCCTTGCAGCTCCAAACTTACTGTGCTTACTTCAAAGTAAGGTGCTAGGTTCAAATCTAGCCTCCAGCTATTTCAGGCTAGGGCCCACTTTAAAAGAATCACAAGTCAAAAATTGAAACTTACAAAACTAATCAATTGTTTGTTTGGGGTAAGTGTTGCTTTAAAGAAAGATTCTGCGCTTTATGAAGTAATTTATTGTAGGTTTAATTTAAATAGCTTACTGCCAACCTTCTAACCTTCACAAGAACAGCAATTTCCCTCTTTTGTTCTCTGTGTATCCCTTGTACTTACTCATACTTCACCCATCATAGTAGGCATTCAAGAATTATTTGTTTAATGCAAAGGTTGGAATACTATGGTCTAGGGACCAAATTTGGATCACTACCTGTTGTTGTAAATAAAGTTTTTATAAATAAATCCAGCTTTATATCCTGACATTGGAGATTTTCCAATAAGCACAATTGTAGTGTCTATATGACTGCTTTTTAATAAGAGCAAAGGTATCAATCAACACTTAAAATCCACATTTTAAGATTCAAATGCATTACCCATTTGAATATTATCTAAAGCTGCTTTTGTGCTACAGTGGTAGAGTTGAGTAGATGAGACAGAGCTTGTATGATGCTTGAAGCATAAAATCTTTTCCATCTGACCTTTTGTAATGTCAGTTTGCTGACCTCTTGTTTAAAGGATAAAATAGTTACTTTATTAGTGTACTTCAAACAGGATTTTATTTGTGAAAATCTGGTTACCACACAATTTTTCAGGAACATATAGTACATACAAACTACACTCCTACCTAGGTATACGGGGCAGACGTCTGAGACTATGACATAGATAATTCAGACTCCCCCTAAACTTGTATGCCAATCAAAATACTTCTCAATGTGGCCTCGTGGTTAAACTGGTGGTGTTTGTTAAGCCTGGCTGACTTCTTAATAATTGTTGGATTTTTTTCAATGAGCCATTATCAGTGTTAAAAGGCACAGGTTGAGAGCTGCCCTATCACCAATAGACAGAAATGCCTCCTGTAAAATACAGGTCTGCTTATGTCTGCAAATGAAATCTTGATTTAGGCCATAGAGCACCACTCTCCTGATTCACAGTGGCTCTCTTTTGGAAAGAAGCCACAAGACTGTGATTGAAATGTGATGAGTACAGAGAAACTGAGTGGATGGTAAATTATGAACTTCTGTTGGATTCCTTGCCACTGGGTAGAATTGGTCCTACTGGCCTGTGAAATGCCTAAATTAACAGAGATGAACAATATTCACCAAGATGTAAAGCAATTAGGAGAGTCTTTGAAAGATGCAGGAATTATATTAGTTTGTTTCATCATCACAGTTGTTTGATGATAAGAAAATGAGAAAAAGGTAGCTGGGGCCAGTTTCTGGAAATGCCTCTTCAGTTTTGAGACAGACTCAGTGGCAGACACAGTCTGCACTGGTTATTGTACCATGCTCTGGACTACGAGGTAAGGGGATATTTCAGAGCAAGAATCCAACTGAAGGGGACCTATTCTATCTTCTTCATTTATTGGGGCCTTCTTTTGGCATTTCAAGATGTGTTCCAAATCAAATAAAGAGTGACAATTTTGTGCATCAGATAAGGCTTTGTGTCCTATTTCTAATCTTGTTTTGAAAGGTTGGTTAAAAAATTATAAGCCTGATTCACAAAAATTGGTATGTTTTGTGCACTGAGCTGAACATCTTTTTAAGAAAGCTATAATTATACATTCCCATGAATTAAGCAAATGTTCAAGGAGGAATCACAAATTACATCTATCCACCAATACAGATCTCACAAACTGCTCACGGATTGTCACTGCATAGGTGAGTAATTGGGTCATGTCTCTTTAAGTTCTCATGTTTATCATTTAAGTGGCCTATCATTTTGATTGTATCTCTTTCCTTTAGTTATGAAGATGTGAGAGAACAAAGCCAAGACACAATATTTTGGTACAGCATGTGCTAGTTTGTTCAGGGGATTTCCACTGGGGTGCTTACTCTCTCTGGGTGGGGCAGGAGATGCCGAAAGGACTTCAGAGAGAAGACCAGATCAAGTGTGAGGGGCTCGAAGAAAAATGAGACGCATCACTAATGCTTCTAGAGACTGTGGGGGAACAATGGCGTCTCCTCTCTTCCTTCACCCGGGTCTCGTTAGTCTTTGACAACAGAAAAGCTGAGGAAGACCCGCCTTGCTCCACCTATTCCCCAGATGAAAGACATCCACTGTATTGCTTTGTCATTATTGTTGGTGAGACAAGCGCAGATAGAGAGAGCAAGGGAGGATTAGGAGGGCTACTCAGGGCACCTGAGCTTCCTGCTGCAAAGTCAGGACTCAAGCATCCGACTGTGGGCAGAGCAAGTCCTCTGGCTTGGCAGCTGGCTTGGATCCTACGTCTTCTCCTCCTCTTTGTTCATCGCTTCCTTTCATCATTGCCTCTTCTCTTCCCTCTTTTATACATTGTCTTCCTTTGGTTCCATGAGTTCCTATAATGCTGTAAATCATTAAAAAAGAAGCCATTTTATTGTTTCTCACACACAAGCAGATCACACTGACCTCAGAAGACTCCCAGTACCAGTTAGCCAAGTCTCTCTTTTCCTTTTTTTTTTTTTTTTGTGATTGTTTGGGCCATTTGTCAAACAAAGCACATAAAAAAGTCTTTTTTTTTTATTTTGATATTGCAATAAATTGTGTGGTGTTCCTATAGAATTGGTAGAGTCCTAGAGAGTTCAGAGAGCTGACCTTCTGGTGAGATTTGAGAGAATGTTAGAGTTGGAAGAGTGTGTGCATATTTGATTGTTTTTTTATTCAAGTTAGCTGGATAAAAGTCCACCCCAGAAAGTCCCATGTCTTCCTTTATTTTTTTAAATCAGTAAGAACAAAGATTTTCCTGGGCAAATTGAGGTTGAGCATCTAGACTTATTACTAATCTTCACTGTCTGGATTCATCTCTTAGGAACAGAAAGTTTGCCACTATCCTCTACAGAAATTATAAATTCAGTGGGACAGATACTGGTGCATTATCACTTAGCACCCTTGGAAACAAACTGTTTCAAGAGCAAAAGTCTTTCTCTGACTCTATTTTTAGATGAAACTTATAAAATAGCAATTAAACATTTAATAATTTGTCCTAAATGAGAATGATTTAAAAGTCACTTACCTTGTGATTGCGTATTGAAGGGCAATAAAGTGAAACGACAATGGCAGTAATAGGCAGTGTAATTGCAACAGGAATATCCAGGGCAAAATCCGATATTTGAAAAATATTCAACAGTGCCAAAACACATTCTGTGACACGTTCTATAAAATCTGTATAACTTCTCCCATCTACTGTCAATGTACCTTCCTTCATTAACAGACTTTATCCTTAAGGTGGAAAACAATCTTGGGCAACTGCCTTCCTCTGGGAAAAAAAAAATCCAGGCCTGCTCAGTGGAGTGACTGGAGAACCCAAGGGCTATAGAAAAAGAAATAAAAGCACCCGAGGGTGTCCTAATAGGTGAAGAGGGCTGTGGGGAAGCCCAGTGTTGCTCTGGTCCTCAATGAATTGTCTTCAGCATTTGATCAGTATGTGCTGAGTCAGTCCCTGGGGCTCTGAGGGGGAGTCCCAGCATCTCGGAGTTTCATTTCCAGGAGCACAATATTTTCCTTGTTGTGGCTCTTTCATTTCTCTTTCTTCCTTACCCCATATCTTCAGCCCCAAATCTTACTGTCATTTGTGTTCTTTCTGGGCAGAGTTTGAAATGTCATACTCGATTCACCTTTATAAGAGTTTAGCCTCTGCCTTGGGATGCAACAAAAATGGAAACTTTTGAGTATCAACCTTTCACTCTTTGCTGAAGACATTTCTGCCAGAAAGTGAGTAGTATTTTGATTTCAGGACATGCCCAGATTTTGATAAAAATGTGAACAAGAGGGCTGACCCTTGGGGAAAGTGGCATGCCGTCTGGCAAAGGCTGTGGGCAGCTGGAGCCAGGATGGGTATCCCTGCAGCTCAGCACTTTCTCATCTCTCTGGTTAAAAGTGACCCTGACTGGTACTCTTTATGGAATTGTCACAGCAAATCAGCAGGTGTTCCTAAAAAATGAAGCAAGGGCTCTGTCTATGGCCACACGACATAACCCTAGGCTAAGCGTTTAAGATACAACTGTCCCTTCTAGAAACCTTCTAAGAAAATGGTAAAGTACTGCCAACTTTTACTTTTTCACATGTAAACCTTTATGCTTTCACTCTATCATCAGTCTCAGGAAACTTTGGGATTTAATATAAGATTTTGGTGGTTGTTGCTGTTGTATGCATTAGTTGGGCTATGCTGCTGAAATAAGGAAACCCAGAAATGCAGTGTGTCCAACAAAAACACACATTTATTGCTTTCTCATAGAAGATGATCCATAGTAGGTAGGCAGCCCCATGGGTTCATTTGATTAGGAGCCCAGTTCACCTTTCATTTCCTAAGCAGTTGGCCTCATATTTAAAGTTAGCTTATCAGCACCATGATCCTATACTAGCCCTTGGGAAGTTCATGAAAGGAGGAGGAGAAGAGAAACCAGCTTCCTTTTTAAGGATGTGATCTGAAAGTTACTTCTGCTCATAACCTATTGGCCAGGAAGTATTAATAGTTAACCATGGCTGCCTTAGCTATAAAGCAGACAGGGAAATGGAGGCTGAAGAGGGATTGCTATGTGCTCAGCTAAAACTGGACGTGCTATTAGTAAAAGGAAGCAGGGGAGAATGGATGTTGAGAGAACAAGCAGCCTTTGCAAGAGTAATATACTCAGTGGTTATGCAAATGTGTGCACCATGAAGAACGTGGGCCGTGGTAGCTATCTCCACATATGGGAGGAGAGA